ACAAAGTCTTCACACCTAAGGACAAAAGATAATTCTATTTTTTCTAAAGAGTATGTTTAATATATAGCAAAATGTACTAAAATATCTTAAAACCTAGTAAGAAGGATTCTACACATATTTAATTAATGGAAACCAAAAGAAAAGCTTACTGATTTTTTAAATTATAAATATCTAGAGCTCTACTTTTTAAATTTCAAACAATTTTATAAATAAGTACAAAAAATAACTATTTATGCCAGATGAGTGGTTTCTTTTTTTAAAGTTGGTTTTTTAAATTTAACTTCCTATGTATTTTCTAGAGGCAATTAATCTGGTAAAACAATGTTAGAAACCAGCAAAATATTCATGTTTTCATCAGTTTCTTTCTTAATCAAAACTATCTTTTATAGAAAAGTTAGAAAGAAAATTAAAATTTTACAATAGTCCTTCACTGAACTGTCATTAAAAAGTTAACAATGTTTTTCCTTACAGATTGAAAAAGAAAGTCACATTTGGACTATCAGCATGACTACTGCAATTCTTGTCAACCTCATTTGAAACTCATAAGCCCAAAGCGTATTATGGACCCTGACATATCTTTAGGCCAAAACCATGTTATGTGGAGACATGTGAGAAAAAGAAGCTTGCATTTTCACTTTTCTCATTTTCTACAATAGACATGTATCAGTCCTATAATTGGAAGCATGATTAAAAATGATCTTTTTAAATATGAATTACTTTTAATACACATGGGGTTGCCACAAGTCGGAGTCAACTCAAAGGCAGCTTTTTTTTTTTAGCAGTATTTTCTGCCCTTTACATTGCTAAATGCATAATTTTAAAGTCCTGAGGACCAAACAGGTAATTAAGAATGTAAAACACAAACCCCGTAAGTCAGGAACTCAGAGTGCCATTCTTACCATCCTCTAACGACTCTTACGAGAATCACTGGAGACAGGTTCCATGAACTACAATCCTGGATGTCACTGAAAACCTCAATGCAATCCTCAGAGACCTCAGGCTCACTATATATCACTACCTGTAAGAAAGTGAGAACGGTAGCATACCTTGTTGTACTTCATCAGACCAAAAGAAAATACAGACTAGAAATAGAAAATAACCTTACCTTTCCAGGTCGGGGGTTGATTTTATTTTGGACACTTCCTCTAAATGTCTGTAATCAGATGAATGAAATACAACAAATAATTACAATTTTGCATAGCAATCCTCTTTTCTCCCCACTGTCCCCACCCCCACCATCGTCCTTTCAGTAAGATATTTGCCTCACAATTTATCAGCTTGAAGCATGTCTGCTCTCATCAATGCCAAAGTTATATTAAAATCCCCTTGGAGGAAGGACAGCACACACACTACAGGGGAAGTCAGCACAACTGGACTAAACCAAAGCTAAGAAGTTTCCCGAATACAACCAGACACTTCAAGGGACAGAGTAGTAGGGGCAGGGGTCTA